CTGTACTCAGGGCTAGCTTCGAATCGAGAACGTAAGAATTATGGCATAAAGTTGGAGTGATTAGCAATGGGACAAGATTGAATTTGACTTCGTTGTTTCTGTTGATGCCTGCAACCGTTACTGATACGCTCTCGCCAATTGAATTTGAAGCTGGAGAAAGTGTAGAGAGTACGCCTTTTTTCCTTTTCAAAAGGACACTGGTAGACGTGTCAGCTGTTTTCCACGAGTCATAGTCAGAGGGCGAAAATGTGTTTCCGATAATAATAACAAATTTAGTATGTAGTATTTAAAACTAAACTTATATTTAGCGACGTTAAACTAATTGCTTTGGTATATATAACCATACTACCAATACAAGTCTTTCCAATGGCGTATAAATATAATAGTGGCTTTCACTTACTTGAGTACTGACTAGGTCGTCCAGCAAAATCGTTTTTCTTCTTAACCAATGCTTCATTAACGACTTCAATACTATTTAGTACAACACAGTTTATTGTACCCAGCTTTATTGTGATGACATCTCCATATTGATTAGCATACCGCATTAACTTGATATGTGGATCTGTTGCTAGATCTAGGAATTTAGAAAATTCGCTCATGGAGCAAATGAATTATTCCTTTTTTTTGCAGAGGACAGTCATACTATGTCATACATGTGTACAACTTACCCAACACATTACCAATAAATGGATACCCCATAGGACCAGGTGGGAAACCAGATGGTCGTCGAAGATTTAACAGTCCATATGCCACAAGGAACACCACCAGCAGAATCAATACATTGACTGGACTGGTGCAAATACCAAGAAACCATGACAATGTTTCGACAATCATACTTAGAATCACTTAAATCTGAAAAAATGGCGGATAACGAAAAACCTTAGTGCCATAGTGAAATGTTAGTGTTGTAAACAAATGGATTTATTTCTATAAATATATATATATATAAGTATATAAATGATGGTTCCGTGTATTAAGATATGTTAATTCACTGAATAGTGGTCAATAGTGGAGGACCGACCTCCAACCACATTTACCTAGTTTACAGTGAGAATGGCTTACTAACGTATGAACATCTACGTTCAACTATCCACTGTAATAGGAATATTCACTTGTTTTAATGCCAAAGATTTGCTCTTATAACCTATGTTTCTATTGTCCAATTGGCTCATTTGACTTGTCTGATTACCCTGTACATGAAAATACAACAATGTACATCTGGGGACAAGCTATGATTATTTCATTTCCTAATTAGTCAACATACTTAACAATGAACAACACAATTTTGACAAACAATTCAGTTTCTGCGTCCATGTCTGAACATTCCAAAAACAAGATCAGAAACGACATTTCAATGAAAACTACAATAATTTTACTGAAGAGTACCATTACAACAATTGATATGAATTGTCACAAGGTTCGTTATGATATACATGTTGGGTTAAATTTAGTATTTGGAGAAAAGGTACTATATTATAATACAACCAGAGGTAGGATTATTTCACAGCCGAGCTAGAAGATGTTGACACACGTACACACGTCAAAACTCCATTCACAAAGAGACGCGTGCCATACGTGTGCCCGATATGCATTGTAACCACCTGCCAAGTGACTAACAAGAAGATGGTGCCAGTGAATTGTGTAAGCGGTTTCCAACTATGTTTAGTTGTCATGACAATGATTCCAGGTGGGGGACGTTATAAAATGTCAAGATAGATGCAGCACGAACCCTACGAACCCTACGAGGCGTGCCTCTTATCACATTTGTGGTCGGATGCAGCAAATAGAAGATAGAATAATTCAATTAACTCAGGAGATAATTGAACACCGTGGTGCTCCGAATTATTCAGTTCATTAACATAATTTATTAATAAAGGAGAATAGGAATGAATTTAATAAACAATCCTGGCAATGATTATACAAATGAATTATGAATATACAATGATTTGCATTGATATTATGTAAGACCTTAAACAGCTTTCCATTTACTCCCTCTTTAAGTAGGACATAACAAAGACGTTGTCTCTCTACATTATCAAATGCTTTGGAGAAATCCGCGAAAGGCACAGTATAATTTCCCCCTTTTTCTTGTCATATATTTTTGAACAATGAGAGATAAATATTTTGTCGAATGCAGAGTATCCATGACGAAAACCAGTTATAATGATGGCATTTGACCAGTCAATTGATATTTCGCCACAGTCAAAGATCTTATTGAGCAGGACGTATAGATGTAGCTAAAGCATATGTACATAGGATTTAAAATACTCCTCAGGAAAATGATCAGGTCTTGGTGATTTATCATTTTTGATCCGCTTCCGTTGAAGATCTTTGGGTTGATAGACCGAAAACAATGTTACCAGGACTACAATTATCAGGGTGTATTATATTGGTCATGGTTTTCTGCCTATGTATCTAATAGTAAAGTTACGTCGTAATTATAGATATAATTAATAAATTCAGATGAATTTAGTTTATTTACCAAACCTATAGTATTCCAGGGTATAAATTTCTATTGGTTTAGACCGTGGCCGTTTTCCTATTCGGTAGAAACTCCAGTTGTTATTGACTAACATGGTTTGTAGGCGAGCTTTTGGTCCAGTTCTAGTCGACGACAAAAGTTCATTCACCGTGCTGGGGGCGTGGTTCATTAAAACAAACAACTCTTCTATGAAAATGTGGATTTCACTGGGGTTAATTACCCATTTCTTTTTCTTCGGAAACTATACTATGTAGAGATTGTGTATTTGGATTTGGGGTTTCAATTCAAAAATAGTTTTGGGACGTTATATCAACAATAGGGAATTGTTTCAATTAGGCAACTATGCAGACTTGCTTGCAGTCTGTTTCGATTCCGATGAAAAATTCTTGAGAAATAAATATAAATTGCGAAAACGAGGGGTGAACGCAAAAGTCATGTGACCGAGAAATCACAATAGACTTGCCATCAGTGTAAGCACCCTCACATTACCGGCAAGCAAGTTTTTTTTAGTTGTGTCTTTGAACCATAGGACCTTTAGCACGATTGATTTCCATGGTAACCATTTTAAAAAACCAAAAAATGTGGCAAATTCTTGTAGATAAACTATATGAAATGCTTGTTTCTAGGATGAAATGACGTGAAATGCAAATATTGATTAGTATCTGTGGGTTTCGTGTAAAAGTCTGTCAGTGTTTACTTGTCGGAACAATATGAATTGACCTCAAAAGTGATATATTTAGGTCTGAGTTTTCCATGGTTAATTTGATATTCTCGTGGGATCGGTTGATGAAATCACGATTTTCTTTAATATTTATTAAATTAAATAAAAATATGGTAAACTTGAATAATACAAAAAAGGTAAATGTGGCAATTGATAGTAGTGATATACTAGTATAGTTCATGCCATTTTTGGCACATTTCGATGCCAGACATTTATAAATAGTTATTGTTGTTAAATACATACGTTTTTTTCAAAATACACGTGTGTGTCCATATGGTGTGGGTCACGTACGTACAACTGATGCAAGAAAGCTTACATTTCTTGGTAATACTAGTATTGATAATAATGTTGTAGAGAATTAGTGCTACCACAAAACAACTGCACATAGAATCTAAAACATATCAGAGGGAGAATTCTCTAACAGGCTGATTCCAGAGCTAGTATGACACTATTCTGGGTCGCTTCATTTCTCTCCAATAAATTGCTCTAAATAACTGAGATTGTATAAAATAGATAACTTACTGAGTCTGGATTAAAGGAGTGCTTCGTTGTTTTTTGACCCAGTAGGCTGTGATATTGAAAACTGGTTTGTGGCACCACTAGATATTCTCTATATTGTTATTGTACGTACCAGTCGAAATAACAAAATGAGACACCGTAAACCACAAAATGCCCGGATGCGAGTGTTGTGCTTAGATTGATAATGCCAAAATACGTCCCGTATGAATACATTTATAAATACAACGTAAAAACTTAAGGTAGCAAGACTATTATTTGTGTTGAAAATTACGATTTTCTCATTTAATTATTATTTGGTAAAATGCACTATAAACTTTCATCTGACAAAGTCAACGTAACCTAGAATGTCATGTAAGTTGGTTAAAATATAGATTTTCTGAAGGGAAGCAATGTAGCTTCAGTCGTGTTTTCCAAAATCAACAACACAGGTTTAATCTGTGTGCCTATAAGTTTTAAAGATAAACTCAAGACAAAGCAATGTTAGGATGTGTTATCAGTAGCTATCTAACACAATTAGTGTTTCCAAACATTTGAGTGGTTTGTCTCCGCCCCTGTTTATTTCACAGATTAGTCATTTGCATATGAATGTGTCAGACACAAGGTCACACAGCCACTGAAAAAATCATTGATTTTGGTGTTTTCATCTGCCGATTTTATTGAACTATAGCTATCCTATTCCTTTATTTTGTTGGTTTCCAATAGCCTTACACATTTGGATGCCCCTACACATGTTAAAACAGACCTTCATGGGAAAACAAATCGCTTGTGCAGATAAACAAGCTTGCAAATCTTTGCTGTAACTTCATCGACGTTTTCTAAGAGTTTATGTTTTTCAAAATACAAGGTCTTTAATAAAAAATAACGTATACTTATTGTCGTCGGATTAACACCAAATTTTCACAGCTTTAAGGTGACAATGAGAGGAACTTGAATGTGTCCAGACAAACTATTTCATGGATTATTTACCAATGTGTTGTGGTTTGAGTTGCTTGAATAAAACTGACCAGACACATTCAATTTACCAGACTATTGAACAACTAGGAAAAGTGGAAAAAAAACTTCTAATCACCAGCATAAATGCGTAATTATTTTTTTACAAAAAAAGTAATTTTTTACTTTTGATTAAGTAACGCACCGTAGAATGCAGATACGGACATGGCAAACACACCTTTGAAAAGCTTGAAGTCTGGCGATTCCAAAAATATATACTTTCCTGGGTCTATTTGTGGTCATTTGGTCACAATTAGAATATGAAAACAAGTATGCAAATAATAGTCCCGCTACCTTAAATGAATACCATCCATGCGTCAGGCGATTCATACATGATTGTAACATAGTTGATTTGTTTCATTTTCACATTTAGAATGAATTTGCATTGTACTATTCACATATAGGAATCAGAGCACAATATTTAAAAGCAGTATATTACATTTATTGACGTCTTACTCTTTTTTGTTTGTTAAATGTGAGTGTTTATCTTCCTGTTTCTCCAATAGATTCCCGAGAAGCTCCGCGCAAATTTATGCAAGAATAATCATGAGCTTAAAATTCAGTACAGTGCCTCGTTTTCGCAATCAGACTTGACTGGATTGAAAAACCATTGTTTTACTGCAAAAAACACGTAATTTGCGATAAAATATGACAACTTAATGTTTGTACAGTTCAGGACACTGTTACGGAGCGCCAAGTGTTGCAAGAATATTCTATCATACAGAATAATAAAAAAACAGAATTTCATAGCCTTTTTCTAAAAATCATTATATATATCTAGAAATAACAATTAAAACTAAAATATAAAAAAAAATATATTTATTAAAAAATGAAACTGCGGGAAATAAAAAAAAGAAAGAGAAAAGGACGGGAGCAACGACAAAATAAATCTAAAAAACAAACTTACAAATGAAAAACACTGAAAACAAAAATAAACATAAAGGCAAATTAGAAACAATTATAAAAATAACCAAACTTGATATAAATTAATAAAACAAATTTCATAAAAAACTAACATGAATAAAAAAGATAGAATAAATAAATATATTAAAACAAAAACGAGAAAAATGTAAGAAACACACAACAGAAAACAAACAATGCAACAGTGGCACAAGAAAAATATACCGCATCTTACGTGCTACCATAAAACCCAGCAATGGGACTCGTTCATGTCAGCTATAGCTTTTTGTAATTTCGGAAAAGCTCACGAGATTTTCAAGTTTATCACCATTTACATAGTTTCCGTTGACTGTAAGTTGACCAAGATAATAGTTATCAAGACATTATTTAAATGACATTGTTAAGTACGAAAATCAAGCTCAAACCAATGAATGTTCACATAATAAAAAGACGAGTGCTTTCAGTTAAACTGTATCTGCACTGAATATTCTGTTCCTGATTTTGAATCTGACTCGTGTTTTTAATTCTCTTTGTTTCTATAAATTGTTTTTGAACATTTATACTGATTACGTAACAGCAACGATTATGCCGTGACCAAGTTTTTACACAATGTCGATAATTTGCTCTCGGGCTATATGATTGTTCGGGTTATAATATATGATAAAGTTTCCATTCTGCAGATTTCGCGTATACAGCTGCCTCCATTTCAGTATGTACATTCTATGAGAACAAATTCCGAAAGGTCAACAGTTACGGACACGTCTATTGTAGATTTCATTTAAAAATAGGTGCATGAACCTCGTTTCCCATTATGAATTTGAGAATTTCTTCAAATATATGGTTTGGGGTGGTTGATTATTCTGGTCGGAGTATTCTGGATAAAGTTCTCCTTCAAATAAAATGTATTAGCTTGTATATCTAAGTAGAGTCCTATTCTGGCTTTATCTTATACCCAAAATAATACATTTGTAATTGTCCGGTAATCCAATCCGCAATATTGAATTATCATGACATTATTTCTGAACTAAATAGTTATAACAGTTCGTAAAAATGATTTAAACAGATATAACAACCTTGTGCTCGGGAATGTACTGGACATTGCAAAACAGTTCATATCAGACTACAAAATAGAGATATATGCTGCAGATGTAACCTCTCGTCCACGCCATTTCAGGCAAACCAAAGAAAACGTCGCGTGCTGGAATTACGGAATTGATGCACACTCGATTGGTTTCCTAGAGAATCCAGGATCGTGGACGCTGGTAGATACTAATCATACTGTCACACGCAACGTAATATTACCGTAATTGGTATAGCACAGGTGTGATGGTTCAAATACCAATTACGGTAATATTACGTTGCGTGTGACACATACATTGCTGTATGAACAATACTGATATATATTTGCGATAACGAAAATAGCAGAAACTACACTGGCTTCGAGTCGAGTACATACGAAATTTGGCAGATTAGGAATGAGACAAGATTGTAGTGTTCGATGACTTCGTTGTTTCCGTTGATGACTGCGTCTGTAACTAAGTGACCGATACGCTCTCGCCAATTGAATTTGAAGCCCGATAAAGTGTAGATAGTACGCATTCTCACTTTTTTAAATAAAACTGGTAGGCGTGTCAGCTGTTTGTTATGAATCATTGTTGAAGGGCGGCAGTGTATTCCCGACGGTAATGGTATTGTTTGGATCACATTAATTGAAAAATAACCGGTATAGTATTTAGAATTAAAAATTGAATTTGCGTTTGTGCAATTATACATGTGTACAATAAAAGGGAGCTCTTTGGTGTGGGTAATATTGCTACCTACATACAAGTAGCGTTTTGTTGAGTTTCAGATAGTCAAAATATATGAAGAATAATACCTATTCATGAATAGATTCACGAACAATGTATAAAAAATCACACATACAACAAATTGTTCACTTTGAATCTTTGAAGACAATATGTTCTGAACAATTGGTGTATGAGCGTGCATGTTTAGATCATAGGCAACCAAAACAGAGACACATTATTAGAGAGAAATAGGTTACATCTAAAACTTGTAGTTCAATAGTGATGCAGAAAATAGGAAAGAAATGGGCCTTTAGATTTAAAAATCATACTTTCAGATAAATTGGGCATATGACGTACTCGCACATCTAGGAACATGATTGTATATCATTTATATCGAATGAATGACGTGCATTCTTTCTGTTGGTACTTTGAACTTAAAATGCATCAATCTCACAATGATAATTTGAATCTTATTACTGTGCATATAGACCATAATACCAAAACAAATCTTGGTGGATATATAATATTGGTTTTCACTTACTGAGTACTGACTAGGTCATCCAGCAAAATAATATATCTTCCTAACCACTGTTTCATTGATGACTTCAATGGTATTTAGTACAACACAGTTCATTGTACCAAGCTTTATTGTGATGACATGTCCATATTGATGAGCATACTGCATAATCTTGATATGTGGATCTGTTGCTAGATCTAAAAAAATTGTGATCCTTGAACACTAGATATAATGAAGCAATTGAGTTATTCCATAGACAGTTTTCATCCAAGCGATGGGCGCGTTCTTTTTGTGTGAAATACAAACAAGAAGATATGTCACATTGCTTAAACAGTGTGTACAACTTACCCAACACATTAACAAAAATTACCCATAGAACCAGGGGGAAAACCAGATGGTGGTCGAAGATTTAACAGTCCATATGCCACAATAAGCAGAATTAATACATTGACTGGAGTGGTGAGAATACAAAGAAACCATGACAATATTTCGACAATCATTCTTGGAATCACTTGATTAAAATATATATATATAAAATAGTTCTGTGTACATAAGTTTTCAAGATATGTCAATTCCCTAAAAAGTGCTCAAAAGACCAACGCCCAACCAATGAACGGATTTACTTAGTTTACATGGAGAATTACTTACTAACGCGAAGAATGATTATCTGCGAGTGTCTCCAGGTATGTTGTATGTAATGCCAATGAATGAATGAATGGATGGATGGAAATATGGGTGGACTTGACCTTGAGCTGAGCTAGACCTTTCCTTGTAGTATTGAGTTAATGTAGTGTGAGTTGACAGTATGAAATATTGATTAGACATTCCAGTTCTAATTTGATTCATCTTGGTCGAATATTCAACCCTGGTTGAATACAAAATTTTAAATAACTGTAC